ACTTATTGTTACGATGCGCATAACATGTGTGAGAGAGAGAGGGAGAGGAAGACAGAGATGATCTACAACCATATACGTAGCACCCAGCTGTTGCGGATAAGAGTGAGGGGGCGGCGGGGACGTCAGCAGCCTGCGAGTCTCTGAAGAAGCCTGCCGCAGGCGCACAGTCTGACAAAGTATGCAACGAGCCCGCCGCAGGCGCCGATTTTCTGGTTAAAGCAATGTTGGTGCGTCGCGGGGTGGGTCACAGGTCGGTCGCGAGTGGGTCGCGAGTGGGTCGCGGGTTGGTCGCGGGCCGGGTCGCGGGCCGGGTCGCGGGTGGGTCGCAGGGTGGGTCGCGGGTGGGTCGCGGGGTGGGTCGCGAAGGGATCGCGGGTGGGTCGCGGGTAGATCGGCTGGGTAGCGGGGGTGGACGACGACAACAAACAACACCAGCACCAGCAACAACAACAGCAACAAGAACGCAACGAGTAGAATATTCACCACGGATCCCCGCTTCAGCCACGAACTCAAGGACAATGAATGACCGTTCGGCCCCTTCACTCTGATAAGTACATTATATATGTAGAGAGAGAGAGAGAGAGAGAGAAAGAGAGAGAGAGAGAACAAACAAAAAGAAAGGGTGAACAAAAGAGAAAGCACAAACCAAAAAAGAGAGAGAGAGAGAAATGGACAGACAGAGGGGCAGAGGGACAGGCAGACAGACCAACAGGCAGAGACAGCGGGGGGCGAAGGACTCCCCACCAGCCATCGCCAGCACGCCAAAGGTGTCAACGAAGGCGCCGCCCAGAGGCGTCAACGAGGCGCAGCCCAAGCGGAGCACCCGTCAGCCCGCGGACGGCTCAAATTTGAGCGTGTGCTTCGTCCGCTCTCCTGAGAGCCTTCATCAAACCTGGGCGTGGCAACTTCTCACATGGGACGTCCTCGCCCGGTTGTGACGCCGTTGCGATTCAATCTGGCTCGAACAATGGCTCTAAGAAATCAAGTCTGGGGCTCCAGCCATGATCCACGAAGATGAATTCCCAAATGTCCGACCATAGGTTCCTTTCATGCGCGGCCCCCAAAAATACCGACCCCTTCCCCGGGGCTTGCGTTCCGTCCAAGATCCGTTTTGGATGGCCCTGGCACGGGGTTACGGGCACTTGCCGCCCAAATCAACGAAACGCGCCCATTGGATGCTCATTCTGGGGACCTTCCTGGAGCCACTCGCTCCACTCGTGCGTCGAACTAACGTCGAACTTACGTCGAACCTGAGTCGACCTTAAGTACAATTGGAACCGAACCAAAATCAACAAAATCTGTTCGGTGGTCCCCGGGAAGGTCCTCAAAACGAGTATGTAACGCCCATATTGAGCCGAATATGATCGTCGGAGGTCTGTTAGATGCTCGTTCTGGGGACCTTCCTGGAGCTTCTCGCTGCACTCGTGCATCCATGCTGCGCCGATGCTGCGTCGACCTGAGTCGAACCTGAGTCGATCTTGAGTCGAGCTTGAGTCGAGAGAGAGTCGAACCAGGTTCGATCTAGGGTCGAACCGATCCGTTGGGTGGCCCCCAGGAGGGCCCCCCCAAACGAACACCTAAGGCCCGAACTCGCGCCCCGCGATATCCCGCCATGCGCGGACATCTGCGTGCCCCCCCCCCCCCCCAACAAGCAAAACAAACATCAATGCTCTGCCCGGGTGAAAAGGGCCCTGGGGCAACAGTCGCGCCGCCCCACGGGAGGAGGACAGCCCGCTGGCCCGACTGCCGCGACGCGCGTTCGCCAGGCAGGTGGGCACGTGACGAGCAGATTAACAGAATCGGAGCGTCGGATGTCCGAGCTCGCGCGCGCCGCGCCCCGCGATGCGCGGACATCTGCGTGCCCTCGCGCCGCGAGCTTGGGAGCAAGTGACAAGGGGCGGGCCTTCTCGGAAGGGCTCGGAAGTCCCCTGGCCTTCCGAGAGAAGACTCCTCTGCCTCTCCCCAGCACGCGGCAGCCCTCTCAGAAGCCGCGAGGGCTCCTGAGACGCCCCGCCGCCTTCTGAGAAGGCCTTCCCCCCTGCGCTCGCCGAGAGACATCGAGGAGGATCCGAGGATCAGGGAGGGCCCGAGGGTCGAGGAGGCCCCCCTCCGCGCGCCGACCCCCCCCCCCCCGGGAGAGAAGGGCAGCCCGCCGGATGAGGTCGAGTTTCTTACTGAAGATTCTCCTAAGATTTCGGCTGGTGGTCTCGATGGAACTCCTGTAGTAGACTTGCCGAACCTGACTCTAATCGCAAACACGGCACCGCACACTGTCGCCTCCATTGCGCCATGACCTGCGCTCATGCGAAGACGCGGAAGGATAATACAGAACGCAACGATGGCACATCACGAGCAAGAGCTCGCAACCCCCCAAGGGAGGACAACGGCGGAGAACAGAAAATCGTCGAACTGGAACCATAACAAAAAAAACAAAATCCGGGATAACGACCGTCACTTGCCCCGTCCCCCCCCCGATGAAGTCACGTTCCGCGCCGGCGGCGGCCAGAGATGCCTACGGATGACCGAGGCCAAGTAGGATCAGCACGAAGTGGCCATCTGCATCACAGCGCCTGTGTACACCACAGCGCTCGCGTGCACCAAAGCGCAGGTGCACACCGCAGCGAATGCGTACACCGCAACAGCCCTGTGCAGCGCAGCGCTTGTGCACTGGTGCTTGCGCGCACCAGCGAGCCTGTGTATACCGCAGCGAAGATGTACACCACAACAACCATGTGCAACACAGCGCATGTGTACACAACGCTGCTTGCGTTCACCACAGCGCTTGTGTACACCGCACCGCCCATGTACACAACAGCAGACGCGTGCAACTCAGCGCCAGTGTGCACCACAGCGCCTGCGAGCACAGGACAGGTAGAAGGAGCACGTAGGTGAGGACCTGCTGCGGACAGAGCTGAACACCACGCAAGGGAAGTGCTGATGATAAGTACAAGGCGATGTTACTCCCTCCTCCCTCCTCCCTCCTCGCTCGTCATCGTCGTCGTCGTCCTCCTCCTCCTTCTCCTCCGCCTCCTCCTCCTCCTCTTCCCTCACCCTTCCCCCGTTGTGCGGATCGACTCCACAACGCACGTGCGCATCTCAGCGTGCACCGCACAACGGCACATTGGATCGGTCCACTTGGCTTTCGGACGGTCAATTCTGAGAGAGCCTTCTGGACGCAGATGGGAAGGATTAAGTTGACGAGGAAGGACACGGAAGGATGCGTAGATTCCACCAGCGCTCAGTTTTCCATTCCGTATTCGATTCCACATTCTATATAAACACGCGCATTCTTTCCACATTCTATATAAAACACCGGCAAGCTACTCTCATTTTTCATTCCAGCAGGCTCAAGGATTCTTTCCCACGTTCTATATAAAACACCGGCATTCCGTGGAATGCGCAGGAGCTCCATTTGGTCATAAGGACTCCCGCTAACAATTCTATATACAACAATGGTGCTCTGTTACACTCGGTTGCTGTGGTGCACACAGACGCCATGGTGTACACAGGCGTTGTGGTGCAAGCAGGCACTGTGGTGTACACTGGTGATGTGTTGCACTCGGCTGCTATGGTGCACGCAGGCGTTGCGGAGTGCACGAGCGCTGTGGTGCACACAGGCACTGTGGTGCACACTGGCGCTGTGTTGCACGCGTCTTCTGTGGTGTACACAGGCGCTGTGGTGCAGATCGCCACCTATATGCTGCTGCTACCCGTCCTCGGCTTCGGTCATTCCTAAGCATTCCCAGACGCCTCCCGCACTAAACGTGACGTCATCGGCCCCCTTCCCCCCCAAATGACGGCCGTTATCGGCCCGATATTTAAAAAGGCTCATGGCGAAACACTCCGGCGAGACAGATCTGCTCGCCAGAAGCCTATGTCCCGCCTATTAATCTACTCTCCCCCGTCAAAGGAGTGTCATCCCGGGGCTTTTCCAGAGATCAACTTCTCATCCCGAGAGTCGTTCTGGTAACGGTCCCGAGGCCGAAGGGACGAAAACCTAGCAGATCACACAACATTGTAACATCATGTCGTGTGTTCAGTGTCGATCTTCTATCCTCCTCCTCCCCTTCGTCCTTCATGATCATCGTACCCTTGGTCGTCTATCCTCTGTCCTTCTGATACCCTCGGCGGATCGCCTCTGCCTCCTTCCCAAGACATCGCAAGCAGGCCCCGGGGACGATGAACTCGAGGAGAAACGCGGGGAAAGGACAACAAAACATACAGCCGGAGATCTGGAATTCGGGTCTTGAGGATCCGGCAGCCGGTCGGGACGATTCGGGCACCCGGGGAACGTTCTCGGCGATACCCATCTGATTGAGAGCGTCCCGAGGCTGGAGTACATCGCAACCTACAGCCTACAGGAAAGACCGAGAGCCTCCCAAACTAGATGTCCGACGAGATTATTATAGTCGGAGATCTGCAGTCCTCCTAATCCCTCGTAGAGGAGAAGGGGGGGAGGACGAGGATAAGGAGGAGGAAGAGAGGGGGGAGGAGGAGGAGGAGGAAGAGGAGGAGGATGAGCAGCAGAGGGAGGAGGGAGGAGGAGGAGGAGGAGGAGAGGAGGAGGGATAAGGGGAGGGAGGAGGAGGAGGAGGAGAGGAGCAGCAGTCCTCCCAACATGCCTATGTGACTGAAGTGGGACCTACTCTCTCTCCTCCTCCTCACTCCTCCTCCCTTCCTTCCTCCCTTCCTCCCTCCCTTCCTCCGTCCCTCTCTCTTCCTCCTCCTCCTCCTCCTCCTCCTCCTCCTCCTCCTCCTCCTCGTCCTCCTTCTCCCTTCTACTCGTCCCTCCTCCTCCTCCTCCTCCTCCTCCTTCTCCTCCTCCACTTCCTCCTCCTCCTTCCCCTCGCCATACTCCTCTGTCCTCCTCCTCCTCACTTTTTCTCGTCCCCCTCGCCCCTCCCCCGCCGCGAAGAGGCCTCGTCAAGCAGGGGTGGACAGGCATGGCTGTGGGGGGCACTGCCCATCATGCGTCTTTGGGCCCTTCTCGGGCACCGCCTCTATGTCGAACGCCTGCGCTGGGCGGCGGTGGAGGATAAGGGACCCAACCCTTAGTCCCCAGGACGTCCATGGATGTTTGGTGTGGGAACGTCACGCTTTCCATGGCAAATCCGGTGAAACCCAAGAAGCCATGGGCACCCTGGAGGCGAGCAGGGAGTTTGTTTGGCATGGGCCCCACTGTAAGGGAGGGACAGGATGGGAAAGGGGACGTGGAGGAGACTCGAGGAAGATCGGCGAGAAGGAGGGGCGAGGAGGGAGGAGGATCAAAGAAGAGCATCGACCTGGAGGATCGAGGAACGGGACGGATGAATCGAGGACTTCGCTTCCTGCCCTGGGAGCATTGAGGATCGATGGAGATCGAGGCGGTGTCTGACATGTAGGGCATTTCTGATCCACGCCTCTATATCAGACGCCTGCGCTACTGATGGCGGAAAACAATAATCTGGCCGATAAGGCAACTCGAAACGGGTGGTGTGTTTCTAACCTGGCCTTTGAAGGACTGTTTCGACGCCCAGGACCGTCAACAAGAACGAGTCGTGATGAAAAAGCGGAGCCATTAGGGGCCTCCTAGATGGGGTCCGAGTAGATGGGATCGAAGGATTGCACCGAATTGTCGATGTATCGCCGATGCATCGGCGACATATCGACCACGTCGGCGACGGGTCGGCCACGCCAACGTGTAGAACAACGGGATCCACATCGCACCGCAACGCTGATGCATCGGCGATGCGGCGCGATCCTCCGACCCCATCTACACCCCATCTAGGCGGCCTGGAGAGCCATGGGGGGGCGTGAGGAGACCGGGGAGAACCATGTCTCGAGACAAGTACGCCGCTGGATCTCTGGGAGGAGCAGGGGGAGGAGGGAAGACTGGAACCCCTCCAAAACAGACATGCCCCAGCGAGGGGCCCAACCTTGTGCGGATGTGAGTACGGCGAAAACGGCGGCAAGTAGGACTGGAAGCTCATCATGTGGCCACGAGGCGTGCGAGGGGTGTGCCAACCTGATTGGGGACACCGCAGCCTTCGGTGGAGCTCCCTAGGGCCTAGGGAGCCACGAACTGTGTCAGAGGTGTGCTGGATCAGGCCTGGGACGCATGCGGACCCTGCCGCTGGGGCCTTTGGTGGAACTCCCGATGGGGCCACAGACGTGTGAGGGAGGGGTGGAGCTCCCAGTGGGGCCACGAAACGTGTGAGGGGGGTGCCGACATCGACGTTGGCGGCCCAGGGACGAAGATGAAGAGGACGATGATGAGGATGAGGATGCGGGATGGCAGGAAGGAGAAAGGGGAGGGGAGGAAGTGCTGGGCGCTGCTGATTCACGACGCAGATCCAAGACCACGGGAGGGTTGGGCAATCCCGCAGGATCGCTCCCGAGGAGAGGTCTGGGATCGGGGGGTCGACCTGAAAGGCCCGAGGCCCAGCACAACGCAGTGCAATTCCGCATGTTTTTGTTCGGCCAGCGCCTGCAGCCAACCGGGCCCAGTGCAACCCGTGCGCGGCCGAGCGTGGGAGGAAATCGAATCCGCTGATGCCCTCCTGCTCCACTAGCGGGTTCGGGGTCGGCGGGGCCGGGGGGGTCCACCTCGCCCGACGCCCATGATCTTGACTTCCAATCGAGGAGCAAACAAAACGGGTGTTATCCCGTTTTTCCGGCATCCCCTTGGGGTGTCTGTCGGGCCCCGGAGACACCTCTGGCAAATGTTGCCCTGACAAAGAACTATCGACAATGCTTCAGGATGAACATCCGGCCCCGCGGAAGTGGTACGAGCCTCCAGGGGCGACTTCATTAACAAGTTGCAAAGTCAGGGGCAGACGATAAAAACAGGGTGCAAGAAAGAATACGCCAAGCAAACTACATGCCACTCAAAACTCTTGCATACTGATCTTCCCTCTGCACAGGCTTCGAAGTGTTTGATGCGCGGGGGATAGGAACAAGAACACTTTTAACTACGGCGAAGCAAACACCAACCAATGCTAACTATGAATCTACAAACATTCCAGCGCCTCGCCCTTCTCCGCATTGTACTCCGCCTCCTTCTTCCGCGCCAACTCCTCCGAAGGGGAAATCAAGAATAGATGCATATCTGACCGGATCCGTCCGCACACAACTGACAAATCGCCCACTCGCCTTGGATCCTCGGCATGCCCTCCAGACGGAGCGGCCCTGGCTGCATCGGAAGAACGCCATTGCCGGGAGAACCTTCCACGGCGAACCCAATTACGCAGTGTAGCAGCCTGCATCCGACTCGTGTGGAATCGATGGTGACCAAAAGTCATGTCTGTGTTGCAGCATAAGAGGCAGCAGCAGGGCGAATACTTCTGGTTCGGTGGCGCCGTCGATCCAAGTCGCGGTCGGAGCTACGACAGGGACGCTGCGGAGCGAAGTTGGCACAGAGGCGGCAAGGACGGCAGGAAGGGAAGGGAGGGAGTGCCGCGGACAACTGGAGCGCTCTCGAATCGTAAAGCACGCCGGGGTGTGCCGGAGACAGGATCAAGTCCTTGTCACCATCGGTGCTAGCTGGGTGGTGCAAACAAGGATCAAGAGCACAGAATGCTCACGTCAAAGCCGAGCAGGAACCAACTTTTTCCCGGTAAGGAGCAGGAGGAGCGGGCAGAGCAGGAGCGCAAGCGGCAGCGCGGGCACGGCGGGGGGCGGGTCGTGACAGGTCTGGCGTCGGCTTCTGACACCGCCTGCATCGCTCACCTCTGAACCATCGGCGGCTTTCTGATGACAAGATCGTCGGTATTGATGGGCATGGTTTCCACCACCACCACCATAAGTTGGAGGGGGGAAGGCGGAGGAGGGCGAAGAGGAGGAGGAGGAGGAGGAGGAGGAGGAGGAGGAGGACCCCCTCCCCCTCCAACTTATGGTGATGGTGGTGGTGGAAAACAGGCCCATCGGGTATGATGGGGGATGGATGGGGGAACCGAAAGGTAACAACACCGCTACTCCGTGGACCTCTACCGGGGTGCGCTCTGACCAGAATCTCGAAGCGAAGCCAGCGGTGAGGACGAGGGCTCACCGGGAGGCCCATCACAAAAGCCGAAAACGTACCAAGGGCAGAAGCAACGGTACCCTTTTCCTCAACTGAGATGGGGGAAGGGGGAATTGCAACAGGGAATACGCCGACCCCTATCCCAAGCAGGGCGGAGGAGGAGGAGGAGGAGGAGGAGGAGGAGGTGGAGGTGGAGGTGGAGGTGGAGGTGGAGGAGGAGGAGGAGGAGGAGGAGGAGGGAGGAGGAGGAGGGAGGAGGAGGAGGGAGGGCCAGAAATTTGGAGCCCAACCCTGAGATGTACGATGGGGGGGGCGCCCATCCTCGACAGGGGTGTGTCCGGATGGCCCCCCGGGGGTGCCTCCCGAAGTCCCACCCCCTTTTCTGGACGGCCAGCCGCGTCAAGGGGGCACTCGGGGATCGAGGGGGGGAAAATCGCTCGCGATGGTGACCTCACAGCTCACAGTCGGCGCCAACTTCCACAGGCGCCTTTAAGACTGCCCCCCCATTCGCAGGCACGGCTCCCAAGGGCACGCGCAGGGCAACCGCCCGCGGCGTAGGACCTCCAAGGGACTCCGGGGAACTATTGCGCACCATGCTGTGCCAGATCCCTGCCAGACATGTCGGCGCCAATGTGGCATGTGGGCTGCACACCGTGATTCATTAGGACAGGAGGCTCGAGGAAGAGCGATGGATGTTGACGACCAGTAAGATTGGGTCGGGCATGCCCTCCTACAGGCGGATCTTGGACGAAAAATGACAAACAGTCAAAGACTTCCAAACATAATAGAAAAAACGTCCCCAGACTATCTTTTAACTATTTTTGAATATTCCTGCTGTAGAGGGGCATGTCGGACTACCGTCATCGGCCTGACCTAAGGAACGATACATAAGGAACGAAACCCTTTGTGTTCTCCTGGTAGTAACGCATAAGGAACGATAACGAATCAATACCGTGTAGGGGACGATGAATAACGCATGCAAGCCTAAGGAACGACGGAGCCCCTTTTGAAAAGCAAGTGTTCCTTATTCAAGCCGCTCACTGTAGACGAGTCCGAGGCTGTCTCGCCCGACCTTCCCCCGAGAGAACGATGGCTGGCGGCCGCTTGCTCGCAGCAGGGAGGCCCCTAGGTACCTCTGCCTCCTGCTCGCGCTGCTGCTGCTGCGGCCTTCCAGTGAGCTGCGCCGTCGGGGGGGGGGGGGGCCGCTGGAGGCGTTCTACGGAGTCATCGGGGATGGGCAGAACAGCCTTTAGCAAAACGTGGTCGAGCGAAAAACGACCTCGGGCCCCAACCTGGCGGGCGCAAGCCTGGAAAACGACGGCCGCGGCGCCCGACAACGGACAATTCACCAGTGGACGTGTCAGGGTGAGGGTTCTGTCAACCCCCGAAGAATCAAGGGGGTCCGAAACAACGCCTTGCCCCTTCGCGGTCCGTGGACGCTGGCCCCTCGGAGTTCAATCCCAGTGGTGAGGAATCGACTTCACAAGCTCTTGTTCGCTCTCGTTTTGTGTTGAGTTTCCCTCGTTCTGTGCTCAATCTGCATTTGCCGCGCAAAGCGAAAACAGCCCACGAAATCGCCAAGACACCGTCTAGGTCGAGCCCTGCTGTCGGTAGCGCTGGGCATCAAACGGAACACCATGGCAGCTCGAAGAACAGGCGGCGCCCGAGACATCCTCGCGAGCTGCCGGATCTCAGAGATTCCGATTCTCGGGGATGGACAAACCTCCCTTTAATAAAACGTGGTTTAGTGAAAACGACTTCGAGCCCAAACCTGGCGGGCGCAAGCCTGGAAAATAACGGCCACGGCGCCCTCTCGAAAACCGAAAACGGACAATTCACTAATCGACGTGTCACTGTTGGGGGTTCTGTCCACCCCCGAGATTCGATCCTCGCCACATGTCATATGCTCGTCCTGGCCTGGTCCTGCGGGCCCTTCCCTTCTCCGCCCGCCTCGCCCCATCGCCTCCCCCGCCCTTCCCTTCTCCGTCCGCCTCGCCCCCTTGCCCCGGCCGCAGAGGACCCAAACAGGTGCCGTGCGTGGGGTGGGGGGGTTCGTCCGGATTTCGTCGGACCTGGTCGGCATCTGGACGAGATCTGGAAGAGTTGGACGCCCGAGTTATCCGGGGTAACTCGGGTCCGGGGTAACTCGGGTTTGGGTTCCCGGAAAACGAACCCGAGTTAACCCTGACCCGAGTTATCCCTGATGATTCGGGGCTCTGGACGCCCGAAATATCCGGGGTAACTCGGGTCCGGGGTAAGTCGGGTTTGGGTTCCCGGAAAACGAACCCGAGTTAACCCTGACCCGAATTATCCCTGATGATTCGGGGCTCTGGACGCCCGAAATATCCGGGGTAAGTTCGGATTCCCGAAAAACGAACCCGAGTTATCCCTGACCCGAGTTACCCCTGATGATTCGGGGCTCTGAAAGAGGGGGGTCGAAGTCTGGACAAGCTCCGGGCCGCGGAGGCCCAATGAGGCGTTCATGAGGGCTCGCCCGAGTCCTGGAACCCCGGAGCGATGGTGCAGGTTTCGGGGCGTTCCTGGTGGCTTCACGCCTTGATAGCCTCGGGATGTCTTCCAGCAGTTGCGCCTCGTCGAGAGCGTTCGGGGGAGCCCGAATCGCCCTGGACGGCCGCCGGAACCCCGAATTTTGACCCGAGTGCCAGATCTCGCCAGGTAAGAGAATACGACGGATGTGTTTGTTGCAGCTTCTGGCCTCTGGAGGCCCTCGCGGGCCGTAACAAAGTAATGTCCGGGGTCCGGGTTCGTCGATGTGGAAGCGAAACGTACTCCGAGTTTCCGCCGACGGCCCCACATCGAACCCCGTCGCGGGCAGCCACCGCGCTCCGACCCCCGTCGCGGCGCGACGAAGAGGCGAGGTTGACCCCCGTCGGGGGGGTACCCCCCAACGCTCGTGCAGAAACCCACAATATCCAGAAATGGTCAGCAGACAATAATAGACCCCCGACTATTTTATGACTACTGTTGAATATTCCTCCTGCGGAGGAGCATGCCCGACTTAGCCCCGCCCGATTCCGACCTCCCCTCCCCGGCATGGCGGGCGGCTCCTGGTCGATCTCCTTCGCGATCTTGTCGTGCGACTTCCCCTCGCGCATGCCCGCCTGGCGAGCTCTACCACGACGACGACGAAGACGACGACTCGCGACGACGACGCACTGCGGATGCCCCATGGGAAAGGCGGGGGGGAAGGGTGCTGTGCAGGCACACTGCAATGCAGACGACGACGACAACGACGGCGGCGCATGCCGGCCTGAAGAGGGCTTTTTGTTGGCCGCTGGCTCACGCAGAGGGACGTGGGGCGAGGAGGGTGGCTTTCTAAGAAGGCGAAAATGGGCTCCCAAGGCTCGAGCTACAGAGTATTTGTCGTTGTCGTTTTGTCTTCGTTGTCCTTCGTTCTGCCTTCGTTCTGCCTTCGTTCTGCCACTGCTGCGAACCAAAGTCAGAATGAAAACGTTCCACGACATCGCCAAAATACCGTTCAGCTCGAGCCCTGCTTCTCCGAAGGCCCTCCCGCAGAAGGACTGAACGTCGTCCTTACGAGGCGACGATTAACGCATGTCCACCGCATGGGAAACCAATGAAACCAATGCCCCTGGGCGTTTCCTCTTCCATCCTCCCTCCGTCTTCTCCTTTGGACCCCTCCCCTTCCATTTTCCCCCTGGGTCTGGACGGGAGGCGGGGGCGAGGGATCAGAGCGTCCCCAAAAAACCTTAGCGAGAAATGGTACATCATTGACTTGTCTCACGTTTTGGGCCCAAGCTGGCCTCCTGGGGAGGCATGCTAATTTAGGTCCGCACATTTGGACCGATCGCCTCCAACATGGCCCCAAAGCGGCCCGAAGGAACGCCTCCAAGAGAGCCCCAAGAGGCGCCCAACAGGCAGTAAAAGGCCCCACCCACATGGCCCCGAATCTGGCCCACAGCAGCCCGTGAGATGCCTCACGCGAATCCCCGGAGGCACCCAAGAAACTCCAGACGGCCCCCTCAGAGCAGGCAGGGCAAGACGCTCCAACAGACCTCTAAGAATCCACAATTGGTTGGGCATCGTGCCTGGAAGGGCCGGTGGGGATACGCGAAGCATTACTCATTTTCTATTTCCAGCCTGCCTTGAGGTCCTAGGACGTCGGATCCCCAGGCGGTGGACAGCATAAATACCAAATCCTGGACTCGGAGCCGTTGAAATGGCAAACCTCTTCGCAGCGGCCAGCTTTTCATGTCGAGTAAAGGTTTGACGGTCACAGAGCACAAAAAAACGGCGAAGGAATGCCGTCCCATGTGTGACATAACGTTGGATGTCCGGGTCCTCCCCCCTGCCAGATCCGACGTCGCAGCGAAAAAACATTGCAGCGATGAGGACCACAACCCCAAACAACAATTTTCCGCGATACTTCTCGGGCCAGATCGGCCCGCGAGGGTCCCTGACGTCAAATCTTGGCGAAACGCAACCTGCCGCTTTGATTTGGCCAAGATGTCTGAGTCTTTCGCTCTTCCGGCGAAGACAAAGCCGAACTGCTGGGGTACCGGAGCTGTCCACTCAGCGATGGCCATCCAGCCGTGGAGGCCATACACAAAAACAAACCCTCAATTATGATGGCACGGAAAGGGGAAGAGAACATAGGATGACAGGTATGTGTTTGCATGGGTCTTCTGAAGACCATTTCCCCCAACGTTGCACATTGTTGGGTGAACATCCGAAAACAGAACGCAACAACAAAGCACGATTTCCGCGCCGCCCTAATCTGAAGGGAGGGATTCCCAGAGGCTTTTGACAGGATCCCTCCCCAAGGTGTATTCGCGACACCGCGCGCATGTCGACTGAAACCGTTCGATGCGACGGCAAAAACGGTCATGCTGGCTGCGGATATCACTGGGGTAGCCAAAAACGGAGGTGTGGAATGTTGAGCAGGGGCCGACCGTCCCAACATTGCTATCATCCTACCACGAGATGTTTTTAGAACCCCCAAATGGTGGGATAACAAAAACAATGTTTTAAAACGCGACATGTTACAACAATACAGCGTCAACCATCACTTTCTCAGAACATTTCGTGCAAACCACAAACGGTTCTTAGAACATGTTGTGGTAACCCATCAGGCCAGCCGGGAGGCGCGACGCAGGCGGCGCCGCTCCAGCGGAGGGGGGACAGCAGCACCTCCGCTGTAGCGGGCCGGGTGGGCAAAACTGGTGACGGACATAAGAGAAACAGGGGGCGGAACAAAAAGGCGCCTCAGATGGCTGGCGGTGCCGACATGGCTGCAAATCGGCGGTGGATAACCTCCCTTGACGGCCTAGGACCGAAACAAACGGACCTGGACCCGCAAAAATGACGGCCGCGACGCCTTTTCGCGAACCGAAAACGGCCAATTCTTTAATCGACGTGTCAGGGTAGAGGGTCGATCGACCTGTGAACAAACAAGAAACGGGAGATGGAGGAAAGAACAGCAGAGGCAAACGGAAAAGGTTTTTTTGTTGGTTTCCCCTTCCCTCCCTCCAATACAATGTCCGACGACGACGACGGCAACGGCGACGGCGGACGACGACGCACTGCAGATGCTACATGGGGGGCTGCGCATGCCCGTTGTAGACGTCGACGGCGACGACAACGACGAAGGCGACGACGAAGGACAATGACGACGAGAACGACGCACTGCGGATGCCCCGGCCGAGGTGTGCTGCGTTGCGAATCCAACTGCGACCACGAGGACGTGAACGAGGATCACGACGACGACGACGACAACGACGAACGACGGCAACGACGACGACAACGCGACGACGACGTGCCTCGTGGGGGGAGGAGAATTTCTTGCGTGGGCCCGCTGTGGTCGACGACAACGGCGACGACAACGAACGACAACGACAACGACGACGACTCGATGACGACGGCGGCAACAACGACGCACTACGGATGCCCCATGGGGAGCGTTGGGGGGAGAGGTGCTGCGCAGGCGCTCTGCGATGTAGACGCCGACGACGACGACGACGACTGTGGCACGTCAGTAATCAGCCTGAGAAGAGGACAACCGCCACCTCGGGTATATTCGGGAGCGGCCAAGAGGGGGGTGTCCAAGAGGGGGGGGTGCAAATCATGACCGGCGGCACGTGCGCGGCCCAGCGGGGCGGCCAGGGACGTAATGAAATAAGAAGAGGCGCCATGAAATCTGGGGAAATATCATGGACCCCGCCATGATATCCCCCCCCCCTAGTCATCACCCCCCTCTTTTCCGCCCACGAATATACAATCCATATCACAACTTCTGCACGAAAGGTAATCAATCATTGTCAGGCTGCCGCGCAGGGGGGTACAGGACCTCCTCGGCGGCAACCCGCGACGACCCTCCGTGGTCCTGTGCACCAGCCCAAGGGGGGGATCATCCGTGAACCACAGAAGCTGACACTGGCGGCATGGATTGGAGCGGGGCGCGCAGCGGAACAGACTGCGATCTCTTCGTGTGGCACTAGCGCGCGCGCGAGGCGGCATCCCCGGCACGCCACAATAGTCAAAGGGCCCAGCGAGCCGAGACGCAGCGGCAAGGCAGCGGTTGAGAGGGCGGCGAGGGAGGAAACGAGGCTTGACTGTACGGCGGGTTGCGTCCTGTCGGTGTGACTGAACAGGGCTGGCACTCCTTGGACTGACACGTCCTGGGGACCATCGGTGGTCGGAGGAACTTGCGGCAAGGCAGCGGCACGCGCCGATGCCCTCTTCCCGAGGCGACTCCACCGGGGCAGCATGTTGATCTAGTGCACTGGAGCACCAATGACCCCAAGTCCACTCCAGGAGCAGAAAGGGACAAAACAAATGGAGACGGCTCCCACCCCCGTCCACCTCCTCCTACTCCTCCACCTCCTCCCATGGGGCAACCATAATGTACCGATATCGCTTCTTCTCGGACCTCTACCAGGCCGCGTTCTGACAAGCGGTGGCCGCGTGGGCCTCCCTGGGGCCCGCAAGGGGGAAACCGACGGAAGGATAGCAATATGTGTGCCTTTTCCTCCTCTGACCTTCTGATGCTCGGATCGTCCTCCTCCTCCTCCTCTTCCCCCTCTTCGTCCTCCTCCTCCTCGCCACCATCCCCATAGATCTGCGCGCTGCCAAAACCGCCGTGCTGGCTGGTCGTTCCTTGTGTTGATCCCCTGCGAACCGCTGCCCGACCCAAGGACCGTTACAAAACGGCGGCGGGAGGGAATAGTGGCACCTGGAAGTGGTCGAGGGCCCGGAGGCTGACGACGTCACGATCAAAAGGCAACAGCGGAGGAGAGGGTGTTCCCCCCTTTTTCTTCCAGCTCCTCCTCCCCCACTTCCTCCAACTGATCATTCCCGTCTCCTCTAGGCCCTCCCCCAATTCCTCCTCCTCCTCCTCCTCCTCTTTCCTTCAACTGCCTAATTGTCCCTTCCTCCGCGTCAACCTCGATCCTCAAAGTGCGTACGTAAGCACCTCCTCATCCTCATTCTTTCATCCCTCCCAATCCTTCCCTGTCCTCCTCGTCCTCCTCCAGCTACATTTTCATCCGACCCTTTCCATCCCTTCCCTCCCCCATACCTCCCCCTCCTTTTCATCATTCTTCTGACCAGGCATCTGACGTCAATGTGTCTCACAACGTGGCTCCCTGGAGGTCTGGACCTGTTCCCTAAGACATCTTCTTCATCCTGGGCAGCTCACTGACAGCCCCAAGCCCGGTGAGGGCCGCAAGAGGCCGAAACTGGTCAACAAAACCTACGTCGTGTATTTCCCTACCTAGGCTCTGCCTAGAAGGGTTCTTACTCTCTTAGCTTAAAGGGGCGGGCAGTGTAAAGCGCCCCGGGCGGTTCCTCCAGTCCCCGCCCCGCGGTTCCCCCAGGTACGGCCTCTTAGCTTAGCGTTGCTTAACTCATCTTAGCTTAGCTTAGCTTAGCTTCATCTTAGCTTCGCTTAACTGTAGCTTAGCTTTAGCTTAGTTTAGCTTAGCTTTAGCGTTAGTTTAGCTCATCTCAGCTTAGCTTAGCTTTAGTTTAGCGTTAGCTTAACGTAGCTCAGTTTTAGCTTACATGCAGTTTACCTTCAGCTTAGCCTTAACTTGGCTTTAGCTTAGCGTTAGCTTAACTTTAGCTCAGCTTTAGCTCAACTTTAGTTTATAGTTAGCTTAGCGTTAGCGTTAGCTTAGCTTAGCTTAGCTTTAGCTTAGATATAGCTTAGCTTTAGTTTACCTGCAGCTTACATGTAGCTTAGCTTTAGCTTATATTGAGCTTAGACTTAGCCTAGCTTTAGCCTAGCTTTAGCTTAGCTTTAGCTTAGCTTTAGCCTAACTTTAGCTTAGCTTTAGCTTAGCTTTAGCTTAGCTTTGGCTTAGCTTTAGCTTAGCTTTAGCTTAGCTTTAGCTTAGCTTTAGCTTAGCTTTAGCTTAGATTTAGCTTAGCTTTAGCTTAGCTTTAGCGTAGCTGTAGCTTAGCTTTAGCTTAGCTTTAGCTTAGCTTTAGCTTAGCTTTGACTTAGCTTTAGCTTAGCTTTACTGTTACTACTAATGCTGCTTTCCTAGGGGCTCCAACTCCTAGGTAGGGTCGCACTGGGATAATTGTGTTTGTTCGCAACGCGATGTCAGGGTCCTGGCGTTCGCCTTCGTCGCTGCTATCATCTCCCACCATTGTGCCACACGTCCTTCTCCCGATTCTTTTCCCTCGCCGTATTCCCCTCCCGGCACAGAAACGCACGCCCTCTTCCCTGGGGAGCCACAACAGTGCGCCTCATGGGAACGACCCGGTGAAGCTATCCGCGAGCGGCGCCTGCACGGATCGCGACCATTCGTTCACGCGCGCCCCGATGACTCCACGGAACCTGCGTCAGCAAAAAAAACACAACACCTGCACCTCTCCTCATGAAAGTGTGGGCGGGAACGCCAAAGGGCACAGAAAAGAGTGCGCAGGGCTGCCCCGAGCTTGAGGAAGACGAAGCGCATGCTCTCGAACTCACCTGCCCGCGTGCCCGCGCATCGGCCCCGAAGCAGCTGCCGAGCCGTGCCTCCCGAGCGCACCGCGCCCGCCCTCGACGATCGAGGGGCGGCAGCACATGAGAGCGTGCTCCGCTGCACACCACCAGCCCCGCGCACAACGTGGCAACCCAAAACACTGACGTCGCGCTGTGTGCCCAACCTGGCCCTCCGGGGGGTCTGGACCTCTTCCCAGGGGCCGCCTGGTCATGCAGAACACTTCAAAACTCGTTGTCTGGTGGCGTAGAGCCTGGTGAGGGTCCCCCAGGAGCCGAACATGCAACCAGAAATGTCCGTCATTATGTTTTCGATACGGGGTGCCCAGATGCGTCGTTTAAGGCCGTTTTGTCAGAAAAGGCCCGTTGCAGCGCGGGCTTGCCAGACTGGGTCCGTTGAGTCATTCCGTGACGGCACCAGACCCAGAAAACTGTCCAGACGCCCCACAGCACTGCATAACGCATCCGCCACGATTACATTCATAACGATGGATGTCTGGGCGTGGCATCCACCACCACCTGTGCTTCAGTCAGACGCACGCTCCTCTCACTGCTCTTCCTTCTCCTCCTCCTTCTCCTCCTCCTTTTCCTTGTCCCCCTCCTCCTCCTCCTCCTCCTCCTCCTCCTCCTCCTCCTCCTCCTCCCCCTCCTGTCTCTCGCAACGCCATTTGGCGATCCCCTGGCTCCGTTGGCCCGCGCGCGCGGCCGCGCGGCCCGCACGTTGCACGCGCGGCCGCCGGCCCCCTGCTGGAGGTCGGGCACTTTCCGGGAGGGGGTGAGGAGGAAAGGGCGCATGCCATGCACTGATTGATACGGGGCGCGAAAACGACCACAGCCACTGCTTTTCTTTTGTTGCCGCCTTCCAGCCCGCAGAAACAAAGCAGTGGTTGTGGTCATTGTCGTTCAACTTGGCACCAAGGAAATGACCACAACCACTGCTTCTTTTTCGGCCGGCTGGACGGCGGCGCAAACAGGAAGCAGTGGCTGTGGTCATTTTCCCGTCCCGCAGACTGAGCAAACATAGAGGAAAAAGGGGAGGAGTTCTGAGTTGAGCGGCGGGGCCGCTCAAGGGGTGTCGCAACGGTTGCGGATGACGTAGCACATTGCCGGCAGCGGCGTACGTGGCGTATTTCGCCGGTAACGCTGTGTAGCGCAATAGCCTCCCGGTTGAACGACCGTAATTGTGAGCTGAGTGGTCTGTCTCAGAGCGCATTGTGCTACTCGCGGCCATAGTGGGGATGGGGAGGGGGGGAGGGCATAACGTAGCGCCCCCCCCCCCCCGCACCACACTGTGGTGCCGGACGCACTTCGGCAGTGCAGGGGACACACTGAAGAGGGTGGGGGCGTCCCGTTTTGGGGGAGGAGGGGGTGGGAGGGTAGGGGGCCTAATGCGCGCTATGGCACAGAGGGTAAACATCAACACTCTTCTAAGGTTGGCCGATCTCACCATCATCATCGTGAGGTGCCATGCGGAGATCATCTGGTCAGTCTTTTCATACGTCGGTGCGCCGCAATTTTGATGCGTTCTTTGTGCTTTTCGTAGGCGTTGCGGCCAGCCTCGTAGATGGCCTCTATGGCTGCGGATCCGCAGGTGGAATTCTCAGTCCCATTTGTCGCGGTGGTTGACTGCGATCTGGCATGGATATCGTGGCAGGAACTCTTATGGAAGCCGTCGTAGCTCATCCGGATGTCCTCGTAGCTCAGGTGGCCCTCGGAACTCTGCTGGTAGCCCTTGTAATTCAGCTGGTGGCCGTCCACTATCGGTCGCGCCATAGGTTGCGCCTTCGGAGGCCGAGAAAAAAACCGTGCCCTATCGGTTGCGCCATTGGTTGTGCTTTCGGCGGCCGAGAAGAAAACCGTCTCCGATCGGTTGCGCCATAAATTGTGCCCTCGGCGGCCGAGAAGAAAACCGTGCCTTATCGGTTGCGCCACAGGTTGCGCCCTCAGCGGCCGAGAAGAAAACTGTGCCCGAAAAGTTGCGCCATAAATTGCGCCCTCGGCGGCCGAGAGGAAAACAGTCTCCGATCGGTGGCGCCACAAGTTGCACCCTCGGCGGCCGAGAAGAAAACCGTGCCCTATCGTTGGCGCCATTGGTTGCGCCCTCGGCGGCCGAGAATAAAACCGTCCCCTACCGGCTGCGCCATGGGTTGTGCCCTCGGAGGCCGAAAATAAAACCTTATCCTATCGGTTGCGCCATAGGTTGCGCCTTCGTCGGCCGAAAATAAAACCGTCTCCGATTGGTTGCGCCACGAGGTTGCGTTCTCGGCGGCCGAGAAGAAAACCGTGTCCGATCGGCTGCGCCACAGGTTGCGCCTTCGGCGGTCGAGCATAAAACCTTCTCCTATCGGTTGCGCCGTAAGTTGCGCCCGTGGCGGCCGACAATAAAGCCGTGCCGTAACGTATGCGACCAGTCAGTTCAACTCAAGAAGTTTACGTCGCAAACAAAAACTCCAGGCCACGCCCGACATTAACTGGATCGGTGGATATCGGCAGCCAAGTCGGGACAAGTCGAACCGGCGAACATCGCAAGGCTGGCATGCCTCCAATGGGAAATCGGAACCCAAATCGGAATCCCAAGTCGAACCCAATCGAAATCGGAAACCATCGTCGACCCAGCCGCGATGCAGGCGCCACGCCTGTCTGGCTTAGTCGGGAGGGCGCATGCACAGCTCCTGGACTCGAAATGGGCCTGGCCAGGGAGAAGCGGAGATACATAGATCTCGTCGCCCCAACCCCCTACCGCCTCATCGTCCTTTTCCTCCTCCTCCTCCTCCTCCTCCTCCTCCTCCTCCTTTTGCTCCTCCTCCTCCTCCGCCTCCTCCTGCGCCTCCTCCTTTTCCTCCTGTTGTCCTCCGCCTCCTCCTCCTCCTCCTCCTCCTCCTCCTCCTCCTCCCTCTCCTCCTCCTCCTCCTCCTCCTCCTCCTCCTCCTCTCCTCTCCTCCTCTCTCCTCCTCTCCTCCTCCTCCTCCTCCTCCTCCTCCTCCTCCTCCTCCTCCTCCTCCTCCTCCTCCTCCTCCTCCTCTCTCCTCCTCCTCCTCCTCCTCCTCCTCCTCCTCCTCCCTCCTCCTCCTCCTCTCCTCCTGCTCCTCCTCCTCTTCCTCTCGCCTCGTCCTCCTCCTCCTCCTCTCCTCCTCCTCCTCTCCTCCTCCTCCTCCTCCTCCTCTTCCGCCTCCTACCCCTTCTCTTCCCTCTCCTCCTCCTCTTCCTCGCCCTCTTCCTTGTCCTCCTCCGCGTCCTCCTCCTCGTCCACCTCCTACTTCTCCCTCCACCTCCTCCTCTTCCTCCTGCTCCTCCTCCTCCTCCTCCCCTGCTCCTCCCCCTTCCTCCTCACCCGCCTCCTCCTCCTCCTCTCCTCCTCCTCCTTTCCTCCTCCTCCCCCTCCTCCTCCTCCGCCTCATCTTTCTTTCTTCCTCCTCCTCCCATTCCCCCTCTCATCCTCCAACTCCAACCCTACTCCTCCCCCCTCCTTGTTTCATCCTCCTCCTCCTCCCTCCACCTCCTCCTCCTCCACCTCTGCCTTCTCCTCCTCCTCCTCCTCCTCCTCCTTCCTCTTCCTCCTCCTTTCCCCTCCTCCTCCTGCCCCTCCTCCTCCTCCTCCTCCTCCTCCTCCTCCTCCTCATCGTCCTCCTTGTCCTCCTCATGTTGCTCCTCCTCCTCCTCCTCCTTCTCCTCCTCCTCCTCGTCCACCTCCTCCTCCTGTGGTGGATCGCGTAGCTGTGCGGGCACATGTGGGTCACCGAATGGCCCCAGAAACTCCGCTCGGTGTCCGTGTAGCGCAGCTTGTGGTCCTCGTATTTTTGCTGGTGGTCCCGGTGGCCCAGCTGGCATCTCCAGGCAAGAACCAGGGTGTGCATCGGCGAGACTGGTGCACTGCAGCTTCCACGTCGTCATGTCCAGCCCTGGTAGCTCTGCGGGAGGCTCTGGTAGCTCAATTTGTGCATCGCGCAGCTCTGGCTGTGGCCCTCGTAGCTCTGCGGGCGGCCCTCGTAGCCGAACTGCATGGCCTTTGCATTTGAGCTCGTCGTCCAAGTGGCTCTGCGGAAGGGCCCTGGAGCTGGCCGTGGCCCCTGGAGCTCAGGTCGTGGCCCCCGTAGCTCAGCAGGTGGCCATCGTAGCTGAGCTGGTGGCTCTCGAAGGTGTGTTCGTGGCCCTTGCAGTACTGCTCTTCGGCCTGGTACCTCTGCTGGTGGCTGGAGTGCGTCGCACACCTCGGCTGGCAATACGCCGCGCACGCCCTCGCCACCCGCGCTCGCCTTCTGGGGCGCCCCCCCGCCTTGTCGGAAAGGCCGCCCCCCTCCTCGTCGCTCCGCTGTGCGCGCCGCCTGGGGGGCCCCCTCTGCTCCTGAGCTCGTGTTGCCCTCGCTGCCAGGAACCCAGAATCGAATCGATCCGTCGGATCGGCGATCGAAAGCACAAAAGACAGCTTGCCGCTTGGGCCCCACCGCCCAGCCCAAACGGCGAGCATGAACCGGGCGCAGCCCCGCACGCAGTCGACAATCCACACTTCGGTCACTTCGTCCTCGTACTACTCGTATTCCTCCCCGTCCTCCTCCCCATCCTGATCGTCCTCCTCCTCGACCTCGTCCTCGTCCTCCTCGTCTTCCTCCTGCTCCAGCTCCTCCTCGTCGTCCTCGTCTAAGACCTCGTCCTCGTTTCTCGTGTTCCTCCTCCTGCTCAT